ACCTATTGCCAATTCAAATGAGTACTTAGATCCTTTCCAACTTGATATCATCCAACTAGTAAAATTTGGTTAAACAAACCATATTTCTGGTTTAATCGAGTCTGTCTCTTTACTTTTTTGAAATATGTGCTTCTACTTTACCAAGACACTTTTTGCAAGTGACTACTATTCTTTCTTCCCTAAGACTCATATGTGACATGCCCTAACAATGTCATATGATGCTTATGGTTTTTTGGGGTGTTTGTGTTACATGCTATGCTTTTTTACTTGTTTTGTTATGTAAAATACATTAAAAATTGCAACATATTGTTTTGTTATGTAAAATACATTAAAAATTGCAACATAGACAAATCAAACCTAGGACCCAAGAATGAACTTACCTTATATTGTGTGGAGCTAGTTGCCCCTACAACTTTTTTTTTGATAACTTATTTTAATAAATAATATGTGTATAATATATTACTTTGTTCCTATAATAATTAATTAAAATTGTGTACTATTTCTTTTTCTTTTATTTTTATTTACAATTCTAATATTAGTATTTTTTTCTCTTATTTTTTACTATACGATACTTATTATTTATTATAATTTACAAAATGTAGAGGACTCTATTTGCTTTAATATTTTTAAGAAAGAACAATAATTTTAAAATTATCCTTATGCATTCAATTCTTTATCTCCAAACAACTCTTTTTTTTTTTTTAATGTTTGTCAATCCTAATTTTTCTTGTTATCTAATGTTGATATTGGAAAGCTAGCTCTATATTTGAAAGCTTATTATACTAAAATTTTAGAGTAAACTATGCGTATTTTTGTCTATTATGATATGTGCATTCTTTTTTCTCCTACATGTGTTATCTTCTTAAATATCAACAAGAATTAATATGTAAGAAATAAAATGAGTGATGAATAGTTAAATAAATTTTTAATTATTTATATAAAGAGGTTTTTCACTACTATTGAAAATGAAAAAAAAAAATATTGATTATTTTCAGAATGTAAAAACTTGTAGAGAACAATTGTGATATATATTTAAACTTTCAAAATATTATATTAAATTTTAGTATTATAAATTTGTGTAAATATTGCATCCACAACCTAAGTTTTTTAATCTATCATTGCTAGGACCTATTAGTTAAATGATAATAAAGCAAATTTTTTAAACCATTAAACCAAATGGATTTGTTTATACATAGCTGAAAATATAATATGTATACATGGATTTAATTATATTTTAATTATACCAATCTATTTAGTTCAAATAATGACCTAGTGGTTCAACTAGTAATCTACTAACTTAGAGTCAAAGATCCATTATTGTTGTTATGAATAAAATTTATCCTAATAATTATATATAATTAGAATTCCTATTTTAGCTTTTCCATATTAGGAATTACATCAATTAGTCTTTTAAGAGTTATTATTGAGAATATATTATTTATATAAGGGAATATAATGAAAGAGACACAATTAATGTCAGAATTTCTTGACATGCCCATGTAAAAGGGAAATGAAATCATCTCAGTAAACAAGATGAGATTCAAACTATGGATAATGAAGTTAACCCTTAACTCCACAAGATTTATGACATGTCTTTTGAATAAGTTGTAAATGAATACTCGACCAAAATCTTATTTGTATAATTGATTTGTTTGTGTGAAAGGAATTAATGATTTGATGAATTGTTTGTGTCTCTATAAAATTGTTTGATGTCAAGGTTTTGATGAGTGTCCTTGATGTTTGGATGAATTGATGATTTGAGAATTTAGATGCATAGATATAACGTAGTTCTTGTAATTGTGCCTTTAATATGTGAATTGCGATAAAATGATGAGCTAAAACTATTAAAAATCCTTAACTAATGTAAGAAAGTTTAGAAGAGATAATGTAAAATCTCAATTATGATATTTTCGTGAATTTACACTAAATGTAGGATTCATGCTAAGTGCGAAACTCCTAAAGAAAAAAATCAATCTCTATAATTAATGAATTATACTAAATAAGATCATTATTTTTATAACAATAATATTAGTATAAAATATTCACACCGTTTATTAATCTCTTTCAAAAAAAAAATTTGACTATACACATTTAACAGATTTCTTCTTCCAATTACATATTTTCTATCTATAAAACACGCATTCAAGACTTTTCTTTAAAAGTTCTCGGACCAACATCTTGTTGCTCACTAAATAAGATCATAAGATAAAAATAATAAAAATAAATAAATATTCTAAAGTTTAAAATATATTAAAACAAAATCCTGAAAATATATAACTGATCTACTCATCACATTAACTTCAATTAAGAAACAAATTTAAAAATTAATTCAGTTATAATTTATTTAATTCAAATTTAAAACAAAACAAAAGATCCAATTCCAACAAATTTAATTAATCAAATTTAAATTACCAAATTCGAATATATCCATCCGATCCAAAATAGATCACTAGAAAGCACTCCTTAAATTACCTTGTTGTTTGTTAGAGCATCTACAATAGGATTGTTTATAAGTAATTCTTGTGTTACATCACTGCTAAATCAATTCTGACCTACTTTATAGGTTGCTTAAATTTTAGCAAAATTACTTCTACAAATAACTCTGTTAAAATTTAAACAACTCATAAAATAGGTTAAAGCTGATTTGACAATGATGTACCATAAAAAGTTACTTATAAGTAATCTCATTTCATTGCAAATGCTCTGAGGAGGATGACACCACCGACAGCAACTCTCATTGTGGATAATACCGATCACGAGTCTGAATTTCTGAGAAAGTTTATGGAAGTTTCTCCCCACCCACCTAAAATGTTGCTGTGTCAAGTACAAAATAGAACACGTGTTTCAATATATTATTACCAAAGCCAAGTGTTAATGCCTCAAATTATTGAACTTCTTTGCTGGCTTCGTTCGAGTTCCGGTACACCTGCTACCACTTAAAATATATTATTTAGTATTTACTAATCAATTCCGTGGTCAATGGACTAATCTCATCATAGGGATTTTCAACGTCACAAGTTATAGGTGTCAATACACTATGCAATCGCATGTAATTCATGATAGCTACTATAATTCAATTTCAACATCTTAATTATGTTCTGATTCATCACGTTGGAAAGAAAATTATTGTATAAAAAGATTAGAGTGTTCATATAAAGTTATTAACAATTGTTAGGCATGATTATAATCAAAAGACAGTAGAAGTTATTTTAAGAAGTTTAATATAAATATGAAACTAATCTTTCTTTACTCCTTTTGTGAATGTGCACAATTACTAGTTTTTCCTATTGTAGACATGTATGGATGATTATCATTTTTTCCTCTGGAGTAACTGTATACAAAGAATATGTCACAAGACACAAGAAGACAAAGATTGTCAGAAAAGTCATCCGACATAACCAGTAAAGAAACAAAAATGGAAAAGACCACGAGAGAAGAAAATCCTTTTAAAAATAAGGACCAAGTAAAAAAATATTAAATAAAAATACAAGTAAGATAATTTACTGTATTTTTTGTTGCCAAAAATATTTTTTTTCGAATATAAAACTAAGTCTCTTTCGTAGTATTGCACTCATTACCTAAATATAAGAATCGAATTTTAATCTCAGTGACATACTTTTTTCTCATTACTCATTAACTTAAGTTAGTTTCTTATCAATATTAGAAATGTTTGGAATGTAAACTTTTTATAATCTTAAATTAAGAATTTGAATTTTTATATTTAGTAACTATTTAAAATTTAAAAAAATCAGGAAGATATTTTTTTGAAAATTATTTTTATTTCACTTTTAAAAAAATATTTTATAAAAAAAGGTGAAAATCTATTTTTTTTAAATTAAAGATAAAGTCTATCACTTTTTTTTTTTTCTATTTCTCTTTTTTTTATTTTTTTTTCTATTTCTCTTTTTTACTATGTCTCTCTTACTCTCACTTTCCTCTCGCTCTCTCCCTTCTATATATTTATTTATCTCTTTTTTTTTCTCATTATTTTTAAATTTTTCAATTTTAATAATATTATAAAAAATATTTTTTTATATAATTTAATAATATTTTTTAATAATTTATTTATTTATTTGAATAAAATGAAATAATATACTTTTATTTTTTTAATGCTCCGTTAATTTAATGACAAGTATCATCCTCAAATGATGCTTTTAAATTTTGAAAATGGCATTCGATCTGATGCCACTAATTAATAAGAGCAAACTACATGATTTCCACATGTTCCGTGTTCTTTTACTTTTTGCCTGATCAACCACGTTACCTCTTTATTTTATTATATTTCGCAATGTAAATATTAAATCAAAACAATATTATCTGTCTTTTTCTTTAATTAAATCAATATTTTCTGTCTTTTCTTTAATTAAATAAAATATGTTGTTAATAAGAAAATGAAATTAAAATATAAAATTACAGGTATTTGAAACTTTTATATGTACTAAATAAAAATACTTTAATTAATTAAATATAATTTTTTATTAGTAGTTTGTAATTATCTTATTATATGGTTCATATTTGGTTAAAAAAAATTAAGTATTATTTAAAGAAATTATTTTTAAACATTCTATTATACTTAAAATGAAATATTAACTAAACACAATCAAGTATTCATTAAAAACTAAAATATATTTGAGTTAACTATTTAATGTAAAATACTAATTTAGTTCAATATAAATTTGTAAGACACAATTAAAAAAAAATACATAAATATAATGTAATGCACATATAAATATATATCTCCTAATCCTATTATTCTACTAAAGAAAAATGTTAGTAACATAATTTTATTATTATTAAAACTGATGAAATTTTGTACAAAATTTTTAAAATCATAACTGAATTTCACATGATTTCTTGGGTTTAAATGACATATTAAAAATTGTTGTTGAAAAATGTTTTGCTTTTGTTTCTTGTATGAAAAGGGAATGATGGCATGGTAGTGCCTAGGTTCACACTTGACATTCACATAGAGAAGGACAATTCCATTTTTTTTCTTCCATTTTCTATACCACAATAGGAAGATGCGTAATAAAAGCAGCAACAACGTAACCCCATTTTGAGCCACGCTTTCACAGAAAATTCTGGAGTTTAGTTTAGCCTTAAGTAACGTTCTCTTTCGTCGTCTCCCTCCCACTGACACAATAAACTTATATCACTTTGTTCTCAACATATTCCAAGAATCTTCTCTCTCTAATCTGTGGCACAAGCCACAAACACAAAAGTTGCATCATCAGGATCAGAGTCTTGTTGTTACTTTCCACATCAACCACCATGTGTGTGCAGGACGCAGAGCAAGATCATATGGATAACACCACAACCACTTCATGGCCTTTGCATTGCCACCTTTTGCTCACCACCCAGATGGACAAAAAAGGATCTTTGCTTAGAACTTCAAGTGATCACACCATCACCAATATCAGTGTTCAAAATTCCTTTCCTGTAAGTATTGCTTTAATGGGACCAGAATATCTCAGTTTTCTCCCTAGTGTTTTTTTTTTTTCCTTTCTTTTTCTGATGTGTGCTAGTTCTAACTTTGTGGAAACTCTTTTAGTCGAGCTTAAGTGTGTTTTAAATGGCATCAAAAGTGTTTTTCTCCTCTTTCTCACCGATCTTCTTTTGGTTTTTTATTGTCCTTTTTGTAAAGACATGGATTTGCTCATTCTTTTCATCCATTATTGTTATGTTTCCTTGGTGGAAGATAATTTCCTAGCAAATGAAATATGATTGTGATACATGAAGTGTGTCTAATCTAGTAATGTTTGTTTGGATGCTACAAAAAATTGACCGTAAATGCATGATTGTTTTTTATTTTTTATTTTACTGGCAACCATTTTTCTCTCTTGCGCGCGATGGATTCTTGTAGCAATGATCCGATCTTGGGGTTGTGTAATTTTGGCTTTTCTTTCACGTGATTTTGAAGGGCTAGATGCCTAGTTGGTGTTAGTTAGAAGTGGTTGTTGACAAAAATTGGTTGGTTTTGTCTGCTGGGATACACTGTAGCTTAATTTGTGAAATAATTGATTGTGCTGCCGACTGAATCAGCTTGCATTGCTGGCAAATAAATTGTGTTCCTTTATTGTTGCATTCATTTTCTACTTCATTGTTGTCCACAGAATTTGTTGGTGTTCTCCGTGAGCATACCTTTCTTTCTTGAGATGACTTGAAATACCTTCAGGAATAAGCCCTTAAAATAAACCTCACTTTTGTGTCAGTGTTATACTGTGCTGTGTTTTATCTCTCAGTAATTTCTCTTACTTTTTATTGGTTTCTTGAGTTTGCTTAAATGATTCAAGTTTATAATGTCTCCACCCTTCTGCTTTAATCATCTTAACTCCCTTTTTTCTTCTGTGGAACATTTAGTTGGAAAGCATATGCGAGGACACGGTGGTTGCGGACAAGAAACAGAATCTGATGAATTTTGTTCCAGCTCTTCGGTCTGGAGAGTGGTCAGATATTGGAGAACGCCCTTACATGGAGGATACCCACATATGCATTGGAGATTTGGCAAAGAAGTTTAATTATGATGTACTTTCTGAGGAAGCCGTTTCCTTTTATGGTGTAAGTTTATCTACCCCCATTATGCTAATTGCCTGTTGCCAAGAATTTTGATTTAAAGTATGTTTGGATAAGCTTTTTTATAAGTGCTTTTAGAAAAATAAAATAAGAAAGAAAATCAGAATAAAATTCTCCATAAACTAGAACTAACTTATGTATGAATTAAAAATAAGATTTTGAAAAGTTAATAGAAGAGAGTTTCTATAAATTGGCTAATGGATAAAATAACGAAGAAGCTTATTTTATTATTTTCTATTTTTCTCTCTTAAAAGTGATTCGAAGTTTCTCCAAAAAGGCCCTTAGTGTTTTAATTCTTCTACAACTATTTTGCTTTTTGTGATTATATCTGGATAATATAAACATCCTTGATCCATCACTATATCTAGACTAGCAAGCAATTCTTGAAGGGTTTATTACATCAATTGATGAAGTTAGAAGGGAATCTAGAAGACCGAATGACCAGAAAATGGAAGATGGTGCTATCAGATCTCATCTTCCAGTAGCTTATAGCCACTTATATGCTTAAAGTTGGTCAAGAGATTCATTATTGAGAATGTCTTCATTTAAGTTATCTTATGTTGAGATCTTACCTCGTCTTTTTCATTGTCATCCCCTTTCTCCTCTTTCTGAGACGTAGTTGTTTAACCATTTTGAAGTCTAACTTGATAAAATGTAGGAAAACAATGATATAAGAGGACAAACATCTTTTAGTCATTTTGCATAGGAGGATATGCAACCTTTGATCAGGGTTTGACATGTGAAAGGAAAATGGTCCCGTGTGCAGGTATTTGACGGACATGGAGGGAAGAGTGCTGCACAATTTGTCCGTGATAATCTGCCAAGAGTTATTGTTGAGGATGTTAAGTTTCCTTTGGAGCTTGAGAAGGTAGTCAAAAGGTCATTTTTGGAGACTGATGCTGCATTTCTGAAAACATCCTCTCATGAGCCTTCCCTTTCTTCTGGTACAACTGCATTAACTGCAATTATATTTGGAAGGTGAGAACTTGTCTCCACTGTTCTTATCCTTGAGAACCGTGTGATGTATTTTCCTGCTCACATTTCTGTAGTGATCTTTTCATATAATAAAAGTCAAATAAAGTGTCTAACATCAATAATATCTCTTTTATGACTTATTCTTGTATCTGTGCCTATCCTGCTTCGGCTCTTCTCCCAGGATAGAATAAGGATAGCAGTTAGTCCATTAGTTAGTTAATAAGGTTTGGTTAGATGAGTAGGGGGAAATCAGGTAAGAGGGATTCTTCAAACCCTCGGATGAAAGATCTCTCCAATTCTCAATGATCAAGTAGAAAGAAGTATTCATTTCTTTTTCATTTGTTCTATCAATTTTCAATTTCTCCTCTCTTGGTCCTCAACATCTTGACAAAATTAGGCTAAGACCCTAATTAGATAAACTTCTTAATAAGTACTTCTAGAAAAGAAAATAAAAGGCAAAATGAGTTGAGCTTCTCCCGTAAGCTAAAATTAACTTGTGCAAGTTAAAATGAACTTTTAAGGAAGCTAAATGCCAGAGATTCTATAAAAGTTGATATACATAAGTTCAAATTAACTTATGGGAAAAACTTAATTTATTTTACTGTGCTATTTTCTTCTATAAGTGGTCATTGAGAAGTTTATCCAAACAGAACTTAATCCTTTATAGGAAAACATTGGACATCAAAAATCACATGTATTTTTGTACCATTAGATTCATGTATTATCAGTGCAGTTTCATCAAATCATTTCTACTCAAGTTTTCGTGTAATGCAATAGATCTATCTACATGTCTGTTGACTCTTTTTGTCTCATTGTCTGTTTTTGCTCATGTAGAAATGTCCTTTTCATTCTTTTGCACAGGACCTTACTTGTAGCCAATGCTGGAGATTGCCGTGCAGTGTTGTCCCGCCATGGAAGGGCTATAGAAATGTCAAAAGACCATAGACCAAACTGCAACAATGAAAGGATGCGGGTCGAGTCCCTAGGTGGCTTCATCGATGATGGTTATTTGAATGGCCAGTTAGCTGTTACTCGTGCACTTGGAGACTGGCACCTTGAAGGAATGAAGGAAATGAGTGAAAGAGGAGGACCACTGAGTGCTGAACCTGAGCTTAAATTGATGACATTGACCAAAGAAGATGAATTCTTGGTAATTGCTAGTGATGGAATATGGGATGTTTTCAGTAGCCAAAATGCTGTGGATTTTGCTAGAAGGAGGCTTCAAGAGCACAATGATGAGAAACTATGCTGCAAGGAAATAGTTCAGGAAGCAATCAAGAGAGGATCAACAGATAACTTGACAGTTGTGATGGTATGTTTTAACTTAGATCCTCCACCACCTGTGGTTGTGGAAAGAACCCGAGTAAGAAGAAGTATATCTGCAGAGGGACTTCAAAATCTTAAATGCCTGCTAAAAGAATAAACCATTTGTGTATCCAGAAAAACAGCATACCTGATTTTTTAGAGCTGTAATTATGTACAGATATTCAACCATCACACATAAATTATCAAGTGAAGATTGAGCTAGTCCTTGCCCTCAGAAAATGAAGAAAGAACAAGGCGTCGTGCCAAAGTTCTAATAAAATTTATAAATTATAATTATTTTTTCCCAATGTGATTCGGAAAGTGAGTGCAACTGATTGGAGGAGAAAAATAATGTAATGTGGGACGATATGATTTGTACATATTGTAACATTCTACTTTTATTTTTCATCGGTTAATGTAAATAATTGATAACTGATTACGGGGGTCAAGCTTCTCATTTCTGATGTCCCTTCACACCGTGTAATAATAAGATTAAAAGAAAAGCCACACAGGCCTTAAATCTTTTGCTATATACCTTTGAACTTAATGATTATTTATCAAACATTAGACAAGAATCATGATTGTTTCTGGGACAGATGGTGGAGATCAATGATAATTGACATTTTGTAGAAAGCCAAGAAAATACTCGTCCATCATACCCCAGACCATGTAAATTTTGGCGGTAAACAGAAGCTATCAAACAATGATGCTGAGGAGCTAAGAGCGTAAAACACTAATATGCAACTGCTTTTCTCTTCTACTCATGCAAAGTTTTCAAGTTCTTGCTTATTTTGGCTGTAAACTACTTAGGTAACCATATATCAAGGACTACATTGTGAGAAACCTCGATGAACAATAAGCCTGCATGAAGAGTTGATGGAAGGGCATGGACCAAAGGTCCAACCACTAGAGCTATGGCTAGAAGATTACTTGAAGATTTGATTACTTCAGAGCTTAGTGGGCCCAATGGACTTGGTGGGCCTAGGGTACTGTAAGGAGAGTGCAAAATAATGATGAGGTGGAGACCGTTATAGGCAAGCCAATACAAATGGGACACGTGGATGAAAGTGTGGAAATCATGGCAAAGAATAAAAGTGCGCGATCCAGGAGGGAAAGTGGGTGGTTGAAGGATTACGTGAGGAAATAGTTTGAATATAAAGAGAAGGATTTTACGAGGTGAAAGGTAGGAAATTGTTAGCAGAACCTTTCTCTCTCTCTGATGGTTCAGTTCTTGCAATTCTGTTTGTTATGGTGCTCTTTAATTACTGCTATGTTGTTAGTAGTATTCTCTTTCTTGTAAGAAACCCATACAGAGTAAATAATACCATTACAGAATTTATTTCATTATACCCATTACTCTTTAATTCTTGCGTTTACTGGTGCCTACGTTACATTGGTGCTTTCATTTTCTATCATGGCGAAAAATACTCGAATGAAGGAGATACAAGCGAATATTGCTCGTCTGAAGGAATCTATCGTCGATGTCAAGCAATTGGCCAATGTAGTGGCTGCTACGGATCATGATTTGAAGCATTTGATTGCGGCTCTTAATGAACGACAACGTGATGATTCTACTCGAGTCGAGACGTTGGAGACTTCGATGGATTCGGTGGTGAAATCGATCAAGGCTTTGGAAACAGGTTCGCGTCCTGTTTCTCCATCTACGTCATTTCAAGTTCGTAATGTTAACTTAGATTTTCCTAAGTTTGATGGATCTGAGGTGTTGTAGTGGATTTTCAAGGCAGAACAGTTTTTTGATTATTATAAAACGCCTGATGAACAACGATTGCTCGTTGCTTCTGTTCATCTGGAAAAGGAAGTGGTTCCATGGTTCCAAATGCAAGCTCGAACTAACGCATTTCATAGTTGGATTGCGTTCACTCGTGCTTTGGAGTTGGAATTCGGCCCTTCACCTCATGAATGTTCTCGATCAGATTTGTTTAAACTTACACAGGAAGGTTCAGTGCATGAATATTATGTTAAGTTTATAGCTCTAGCCAATCGTGTGCAAGGTGTAACCACAGAGGCCTTATTGGATTGTTTTATGGGTGGTTTGAGACATGACATTCGTCGTGATGTGCTGGTTCAGGCCCCTACTACATTGATGAGATGTGTGTCATTGGCCAAATTGTTTGAAGAAAAGTATGCTATCAACCAGAAATCTTCTTGGTACAATATCCATAAAAAAAATCAATCCCTGCCTACCACTTCACAATCACTAAAGTCCACTGAGTTACCTCCATTATTGGCCAAATCAACCAGCCTCCTCTAGACAGAAGTGCGACGGTGAAGAAAATGTCTCCTGCAGAGATTCATTTGCGGAGAGAGAAGGGATTATGTTTCACTTGTGATGACAAATACTCGCCCTCTCACAGGTGTCCTAATAAGCAATATCTCTGGTTCCACTTAGATGAAGAAGAAGTTTCTGATGAACCTGTTATGGATGCTAGTGTTGTTACGGGCAATATAGAGCCTCAGCTTCAAAGTGAACCTCACTTGTCTTTCAATGCTCTTAAAGGCTCAGCTAGAATTGGTACTATGCGATTTAAAGGAGTTATTAATGGTTTAACTGTGCAAATCCTTCTGGATAGTGGCAGTTCGGATAATTTCTTGCAGCCAAGGATTGCTGCTTGTCTTAAACTACCAGTAGAACCAATTCAGAATTTTAATGTGATGGTGGGTACTGGAAGTGCGTTGGTAGTGGAGGGACTCATCAAGAGATTGGAGGTTACAATTCAAAACCATGCAATTCAGCTGCCAAATTACTTACTTCCTATATCAGGTGCTGACTTGGTTCTTGGAGCTTCTTGGCTGGCCACACTAGGTGCTCACATATCTGATTATAGCAACTTATCATTGAAATTTATGCTAGATGACAAGTTTGTAACACTAACGGGGAACAAACCAAGTTACCTGACTAGACTCAATTTCATCATTTGAGACGAATGTTTCATACTAATTCGATTGAGAAATGTATTCTCTCCATTTTCAAAATTCCAACAATTCCCAAGATCTATTTCTTGATTTACCTGTGGACATGGAACCAGAGATAGCATTATTGTTGCATACATATCAACAGGTTTTTGAGTTGCCGTGTGGTCTACCTCCTAGATCACATAACCATGTTATTTCTCTAGTACATGGTTCGAATCCTATTAAAGTGAAGCCGTATAGATATCCTTTCGGCCAAAAGCAGCAGATTGAGAAAATGGTGCACAAGATGTTGTAGGAGGGAATAATTGTGCCCAACAATAACCCTTTTTCTTCTCCAATTATCTTGGTGAAAAAGAAAAATGGCACGTGGAGATTTTGTACTGATTACAGGGCTTTAAATGCCATTACTGTGAAAGATAGCTTTCCAATTCCCACAATTGACGAGTTGATTGATGAATTGTATGGAGCTAAATTTTTTTCCAAGCTGGATCTTCGAGCTGGGTATCACCAAATTCTTGTGAAGGAGGAGGACAGATATAAAACGGCCTTTAGAACACATCAAGGCTTGTATGAGTAGCTAGTCATGCCCTTTGGGCTAACTAACGCACCAGCAACATTCCAGGGATTGATGAATACCATCTTCCAGAAGATGCTAAGGAATTATGTTCTTGTCTTTTTTGATGACATTTTGGTGTATAGTCCTTCGTGGTGCACTCATCTTCAACATTTGGAAAAAGTATTACAACTGTTGCAAGAAAACAAATTATATTCCAAACTTTCTAAATGTTCATTTGGCAAATAGCAGCTTGAATAATTGGGGCACACAGTTTCAGGGTCAGGAATTGCTATGGAGGATAGCAAGGTTCAGGTTATTTTGGCTTGGCCTTTACCTACCAGTCTTAAACAATTAAGGGGCTTTCTGGGACTTACAGGCTATTATAGAAGATTTATTAAAGGTTATGCAACCTTGGCTGGCCCACTCACTGAATTACTAAAAAAAGATAACTTCAATTGGTCAGATGCAGCTACCAAAGCCTTTATAAATCTGAAAACAGCTTTAACAGAAAGTCCTGTATTGGCCTTACCAAATTTCTCATTACCATTTCAATTAGAAAATGATGCTTCTGGTATAAGTATTGGAGCTGTCTTAACTCAGAACAGGCATCCCATTGCATACTTTCCAAAAAAAATGTCACCTTCAATGCAAAAGTAATCAGCTTATGTAAGGGAACTCTATGCAGTGACTGAAGCAGTGGCAAAGTTCAGGCATTATCCACTTGGTCATCAATTTGTGATCAAAACAGATCAGAAATGCCTGAGGAATATCATGGATCAGAGTTTACAAACTCCTGAGCAGCAAAAGTGGCTTCATAAGCTACTTGGTTATGAGTTTACTATAGAATACAAACCGGGGAAGGAGAATATCACAGCTGATTCCCTTTCAAGGTCTTTTTACATGGCTTGGTCTCACGCAGTACCTCAACTAGTGGCCAATCTGCAGCAAGCACAAAAGTTAGATAATGGAATTAAGACCTTGATTGATGCCTGTAACAACAATTTTTGCTCTGACCCTCATTATTCAGTGCATCAAGGTTTGTTACTATGGAAACGAAGGATTGTGGTTCCTAGTGGACATGAGTTAATTCAGATTCTATTGAATGAATTCCATAGCTCGGTGATTGGTGGACATGCGAGGTTCTCTAGAACTTTAGCTAGAATTGCTGCTCAGTTTTATTGGAAAGGAATGCACCAAGATATTAAGAGGTATGTACAATAGTGCTTGATTTGTCAACAAGCTAAGGTGGCCACTACTCTTCCTGCTGGTTTACTGCAACCCCTTCCTATTCCTAATCAAATTTGGGAGGATTTGGCCATGGATTTTATCACGGGCCTTCCTGTTTCTCATGGGTTCACAGTAATCTATGTGGTAGTTGATCGATTATCTAAGGCAGCTCATTTCACCCCAATGAAACAAGACTTCACAAGCAAATCAGTTGCTGAAATCTTCTTTAAGAACATAGTGAAATTGCATGGATTGCCAAAATCAATAATTTCTGACAGAGATAAGGTTTTTACCAGCCAATTTTGGAAAATTCTATGGCAACTTAATGGCACCACACTCAAGATGTCTTCTGCATACCATCCTCAATCTGATGGTCAGTCAGAAATCCTTAACAAATGTTTGGAGTTGTATCTAAGATGTTTTACTTTTGATGCACCTAGGGAGTGGTCTCGGATGCTTACATGGGCTGAGTATTGGTACAACACATCTTATCACACTAGCACGGGTATGACTCCTTTTCTAGCTGTGTATGGGCGGTATCCACCTAAGATACTCGAGTATGTTCCACTAGAGACTGATCCTGTCACAGTAAAGGAGCAATTGCTTTCTAGAGATGACATACTTCAGAAGCTCAAGTTCAATTTGCAGAGAGCTCAACAAATTCAGAAGCAATACGCTGATAAAAAGAGGTTTGATGTTGATTTTCAAATTGGTGATTTGGTTCTGGTGAAGCTTCAGCCATATCGACAACATTCATTGGCTTTGAGAAAGAATCAAAAGTTGGGATTACGGTACTTTGGTCCTTTTGCAGTTATAGACAAGATTGGAAAGGTGGCTTACAAGCTTCAATTACCAGCTTCAACAAAGATTCATCCTGTATTTCATGTTTCTCAGTTGAAACTGTGTAGGGGCAGTCATGATCGTCCATATGTTCCTTTACCAATATGTGACAGTGAGATTCCTCCGCTTATTCAACCAGTACAGTTTTAAATACACGAATTATCCTTAGGGGTGACCAACAAGTTCATCAATCCTTAGTTCAGTGGGAAAATGGTTCCACAGAAGAAGCAACGTGGGAAGATACTGATGTAATTGCACGGGCTTACCCTCATTTCAACCTTGAGGGCAAGATCGATTTTGTTGGGGGGAAGTAATGTAAGGAGAGTGCAAAATAATGATGAGGTGGAGACCGTTATAGGCAAGCCAATACAAATGGGACACGTGGATGAAGGTGTGGAAATCATGGCAAAGAATAAAAGTGCGCGATCTAGGAGGGAAAGTGGGTGGCTGATGAGGAAATAGCTTGAATATAAAGAGAAGGATTTTACGGGGTGAAAGGTAGGAAATTGTTAGCAGAACCTTTCTCTCTCTCTGATGGTTTAGTTCTTGCAATTCTGTTTGTTATGGTGCTCTGTAATTACTGCTATGTTGTTAGTAGTATTCTCTTTCTTGTAAGAAACCCATACTGAGTAAATAATACCATTACAGAGTTTATTTCATTATACCTATTACTCTTTAATTCTTGTGTTTACTAGTGCCTACGTTACAGGTACTCTTCACTTGGGCTTTACATGGATGACCACCTCTTTATTGCATGATTAGTAGTGTAGGAATTCATATTGTTTTGGTCTTGTATCATGGACCCTAGTTTAGGATTTTGGGCTTTAGGCTTATTGGGCCTAGTTTTGGGCTTCATGGGCCTTTAGGCTTTTGATACCCAATATTGGGCTCATTTTCATTCTTGTAATATTTCCTTTTCATTGTATTTGTTTGGCCATTGTATTTAGGCCATTAGAATAGGTTTATGCATGGAATTCATTAATAGGTGTAATAGGTTTCATCTAAATTTCATTTAGGAGTCATTTGGCTTGAATTTAGGTCACATGGATAAGCCTAGTAGTGGCTGACCATGTGCGTCCCAAATTCAGTCCAAATTACCTCTAAATTACATTTAGATGAGGTGTGATTCAGATTAGACACATGACTAGCCAAAGTTTGAATTTCAAATTCAAAAATTGAAATTCAAACTTGGCGCCAATTTGCTTGCTACGGATTGGCGCCAACTAGGAACTCATCCGCACCTATATATGGACTCCTTATGCCTTGTACTCTCACTTTTGAATCATATGAGAATTTCTGAAAATCCATTCAGCCTTATTCTCTCTCAAAGGTCACCGGAATGCTTAGCCATAGTTCTAGGAAAACCTACCTTTCCTACACTTGAGTGTGAGCATTCTTTTGGTTCTTGTGCTTGGATACTTCCATCCATAACTTATGGACGTCTACTCCTTCATTCTAGTTCATCTTCTTCCTCACTTCAATCGGAACCAAACACAAGAAGGAGATCCTTGTTGTTCGGTGAAGGCTAAAGAAGAAAGTTCATCCACTTCTCCAACCTACACCATCAAGAGTTCCAACTATCTATCATTACATCAACCACTTCCAAACATCCAAAGAAGAAAATGTAGAAACAGAAAGTGTACCGTCATAAATGACACCAACCTTATGTTTCTGCGACACCAATATCAAATGTTTTAAACCTAAGTTAGTAGAATCCACAAAGAGCGCAACAACTAAAGACTGCATGAGCAATAAAATACCAAAAAAACTATGTTGAAATATCTCACCATAAACATTCGTATACATTTGTTTTTACAATCAAGTGAATAAAGAATGAGCATATGATACAAACACTATTGAAGCCTTTCAACAATTTCTTCATCAATAGCTAATTACTGTGTAAAAGGTACCATCAATAAAGGGACTAACTAAATAATGATGTGTGTTCCTAAAACTTTAAAATCACTTTCCTGAAAGTTTCTCTCTTATCTCATTTCTTGCAACACGAACCAAGAATAAACCAGCAAAGAAAATAGACAGAATGAGCATAAAAAAGACACTGTTCCATCCCCTAGTGGAAATATATCCTGCCAAAAGGGGTCCAAGGGCAGCACCAGCAGAACCAGTACCATCTATGATTGCAGTAACAGTAGCCAGCGCTCTAGAATTCCGATCATTTGAGCTTTGCGTACCAAGATCAGCAGCCACAGCAGTTGTGATTAATGAGTATGGGCCATTCACCAAAAAACCCGAAAAAAACATTAAAATGATGTTGATCAACATGGAGAGGCTCCCAAAAATGCGATACAAAGCAAGAGCTGGAATTGATAGAAACAAAAACAGAATTGAAGTAATAGCACGTGCTTCAATCATGTCAGAAATGAATCCTGCTGTGATTCCACCTAGGACTCCCCCAATGTCAAATATGGTTGAAAGTAACCCAGCAGTTTTGTGAGATATATGCACACCCGCAACAGCTGCAGTGAACACCAAATTAGCAATTATGTAAAGATCATAAAAAGAAATATATGGATAATGTTAACTTGAGTTTGCCCACACAAACTGGATATTTTTATTAATAGGAATTTTGGATTAAACCAAAATTGCGAACAGCAAGCACAGATACACAGGTCTAGTCCCTAATAAACGGAGAATCTTTCTCTCTCAAACACACTCTAGAAACTACCATGACATATATAGATTATGTGATTGGTTCAGTTTATTTTGGATAAATAATCACTTGTTTTTGTCAGCTTGCTGAGATAGCTTTAGAAAAATAAACAATTATTCTCCATATTTAAGTTGTACCAAACAAGCTATTAAAACACCATGAAATAACTGTCATGCAAATCCATAACTGCCAAAAGATAAAATCACCTAACTGTCCTATCAGACAAGCACTCCACTTTCCTAGGAGCAAACCTATTGGCAATTTATTAGGAAGATGGATACAATAGTAATAAAAGGCAATGCAATTCTACCTAATATCATATACATTTGCATATAATAACAAATACCTGTGTGCCTTATGTAGAAGGGCAACCAGTAAAGAAAAGTGTAAGCCACAAGCTTTGAGAAAAAGAGGCACAAAGCAAACGGCGCCACTCCTGGTATCTTCCATGCCTCCAAAAACCCAATTGCAGATGAAGAATCAGAATTATCAGATTCAATAAGCTTTGCTTCCTCTGATTCCACTTTCTGAATATTCTCTGCACTATCAATTTCAACACTCATTTCGATGTCCATTCCAGAATGCACAAATCCCATATCCTCTGGATTCACAACAAGAAACAAAAACACCAAAATCCCTACCAAAATGATCAGGACTCCAGGCACCACAAATGACCAACCCCATCCAAACTCCAAAACCCCTGAAGCCACAACTGAACCAATGATGTTCCCCACCGAGGTATGCGAATTCCATACCCCCATTATCAAGCCCCTCTTTGATTCCCCAAGCCAATTCCCCACAACTGCAACCACACAAGGCCACCCAATTGACTGAAACACTCCACAAATAATCTGAGCACCAACAAAAAACCCCAACACATGAACATCTAACCAATACCCTAACCCAAAAAGTATGGTAAAAAGGCCACTACCCATCATCCCAAATACAAGGAACAACCTCAAATCAATCCTATCTCCAACATGGCCAGCCAAATACATGCCAATGGAGTAAGAAGTAAGGAATGCCAGATCAAGCTCGCCGAGCCGGTGAGTGCCCCGCGTTCCATTGAAAGGTGGCCACCCTACATCATTGGAACTCAAGTTTCCAGTTTGAGTTGCATTTGATGGAACTGTGGGTCCCAGAACACTCTTGACAATGCTAGGAGGCTTCCTAGAGGCATGGAAGGAAGCATATGCAAGGAATGTGATAACAAGAACACATATTCGGTGGAATAGTAGGGTTTTGTGAGGGGGTTTCAGGGCTGGGAAGAGTGTCAGAGCTGGAGCCAGGCTCAAACTCTCGGATTGCATTCTAATTCATGAAGATTCTAGTCTACACAATGAATCTAATATAATCTAATCTAATCTAGCTCTATCACAAAGAGATCAAATATTACACCCTTTTGTTTCAAGACTGCAATATTGAAATCTATGATCCGAAAATTGAAATCTTAAATGATGGTTCCAAGATAAGAGATTTGAATTGCATACCAATGGTCAAAAGGGGTTACTACATCCGTGGTTGTTGGCATGAAATCTTAAATGAGGGGGAAAAGTTGAAGATTTAGCTGTGGCTAAAAGACACGGAAGATGATTATGGTGGGAAACAAAGTGTCAAAAGTGGCGTGAAAAAACAGAAAATGCAGTGACATAAGATAACAGATTTTGGGAACGTGTAAACCTTAGAATTGCAGAACGAAGCGAGAAGGTGGAAACTGGGAAAACATTGAATCTGAGGATTGCGAGTCAAAAACGTGTCCAGATCTAACATCAAATTTCTGTCTAGATCAGACGTAACCTCCCCAAAATGCCCACGGAAAATTCAATATTGGAAAGGAAAATTTATTATTATTATTATTAAAAAAAATTACAAAGATTAAACATAAAAAAAAAAAAAAATATAT